TATATATATATATACACACTGTATTGCCAAGTCGCGTCGCTAAATGTTCACGCAGCTAGCATGTACTCGATTCCCACTGAGTATCCGAGACCCAGCTTTCGCCCCAAGTAAGCTGGTATCTGCTCCACTTTCACCCCCGGTCAAAATCCCCATCTGGGAATGAATGGATGGAAAATATTAAATCATGGTTGGCATTTGCTGAAAATGTTCTCACATGTCACATGTCGTTCGCATTTAAATTGCTTCGATGTGAGAGGAAGCTGGTTCAAGCGAACCATGTCTTTTCTGATTACTTATGGAATCAAACGGAAATCCTGCTCCACTTTCGAGAGTATACTTCACATATGCAGTACATCACATTCATACGTGTCTTTTGATACCAAAGCAGATGATTGAATGTCTTTTTTAGGCATTATCAATAGCATGTAAGTGTCTAGCTCAGAGAGAAGCCTCATGAAGGCCACTGTGTCTTCAAATCAGCCCAATAACCTTGTCTTTCTTTTTTTTTTTTGTTTTTCTTTTGGTATTTCTCTCACTCTCTCTCCTTCACACCACGGCTAACTTGATCCACCTTTCTAAACACCCACCCCTCTGTCTCTTTCTCCTTGCTTTCGTCCATCCCTTCTACCTCTTGGTTAACGGGTTGGTGGCACTGGCTGATGGTGCAGTGGCAGAATCAGTTGCAGGCAAATGTATGACATGCTGAGGCACATGTGTCCTCCACTAGGCCTCGGGAAGAGGTGTCCAGCACGGGTGGCCTACAAGGTTAGACAGGACCCCACCCCGAGTCTCCAATGGGGGATAAAAGGGTGTGGGCAAGGGTGGGGCTTTAGAAGGTGCTAGTAAGATGTCAACATGGTGTCATCTTGACTGGTGTTGTTTGTTTGGTTATACTGAACTATTTGTTTTTTTCTTTCTGTTTTGTGGAAAGTGGGGGTGGGCCGGTCATTGTTGTGGTCATTGTGTGGCAGTGTGGAACTTTTGGGTGGAGGTAGGAAGACAAATAGGGTGAGATGGGGTGAGACAGGGGATGCTTATCCACAGGAAGGAACGAAAGGAGGGACCTTCTCAGCTCGTTTGCACCATGTAGCTTCCGCCGCCCAAGCTCACTGTACACAATTTGCACTTGTAAATAACTGTGTACGGGAGGGCACATAGACTATATGAACAAAAGTATCGCAATACCACCATCAACACCCCTTCTTCCCGCCCCTCGCAGAGACACACATCACACATACACACAGCATGCATGTGCAGCAGTGCTTGGAAAGTCCGCGAGACTTCTGTCCTCTGACTCGTTCCTTCCTGTGGATGGGGCAAGCGCATTCACACATACACGCAAATGCAAAGAAAGGAGGTCACGCGCACCCACACAGAGACAGTATGTGTTCTTTGCTATGGTAGAGAGAGCAGAAGGGCTTGTGTCAGTGATGTGTTTTCCTCCGAGAGCCTTTGGTTGCCATATAGAAGCAGTTCTTTTTCTCTCACCCTTCATGTAGCAGCGCCGAGCCCCCAAGCTGCCTCTTTTCGTTTTTTTTCTTTTCTTTTTTTTTCCTATCTGCAAGTCCAATCTTCTCTTTGTCCTTTGGTTCTGTCGTCAATGCAGTTCTATTCTGTTTCCAGCCCCCCTCCCCCTCCTCCTTCTGCTCCTCCACATCTCTGCATAACCCCTCCCAGCACTTAAACCTCACCTGCCCTCTGCATGGCCCATCCGCACGACTGCCATTTCCATGAACGCGCCACCCCAAATAATCCGCGCACACACATATTTGACGTCGGAATAGAAATACACAAGAATTCAAAGTTAACCTGACTCCGATAACATTCGACCACTGATCAACTTCATCATTCCACTGGAAAGAGGAGATGACCGGCATACATCCAACAGCGTCATCCATCACACCTGGGCTTAATAGCGTCATGCAGAGATTGAAATGTTATTTCCCAGGGGCTAGTTGGATATCAAATGTGAACTCGAAACCACGGTCACTGACATTCACAAACTGATTGGCTAAAATGTGACAATATTGCAAATGGTGGATGTCAAAAAGCCATTCGAATGCGATGACATTTACAGAGCAATGTCAAATCTGAACAACCAACAGCTCGGAATGTTGGATTTGATCCGATTCGTCGGAATCGATGAATTCACGGGGGCGCTATTGGAACCAGTTTCATGCAGTCACTTTTGTTGTCAATCCCCTTTGTTGTCCTTCTGTTTACGCCTGCCAAATTATCCACGTAAAGCCTCCTCCCTGAACTACTCCTTGGACCCCGAAACTTTCCCTGCTCAATAATGCTAATATCCCTTGCAAGCGATGTTACATTTTAATTTCCTTGCCAAAGCACGAGCCCAATGGAAACCCTGTCACCTTTCAGCTGGTCCACTTCCACACAAAACAACGACGCATAACGTACAGCATGGCTGAATTTGTCAGTCTTGACGGGAGACTGCAGGGTCTTCAGGCAGGACCGCTTTCCGACTGACACGGCCAACCGTTGGTTACTTCTTTTGCTTTCCCCTGATCATTTGTACTCACTTTCTCTATCTGCATATACTAACTCTCACCCTACTATTATTTGTTCCTCTCCATCATCTCTTTTGGCTTTTTCACCTTTTCCGCAGAATGCTGCTCTCTCTCACCTATTAACCCTCAAAGTCTGTCTTCATTTATCCACACACATAGGACCCCCCAAAGATTGACTAAAAGAGCCCTTTGCTCGATCATCACAGCTTAGCGACAGGCTCTACACATCTTCGAAATTTTTCTTCAAATAGCTGCTACATTAAAACAGCGCACAAACTCATTTTAATGTTGCCCCACATGGGATGCTTTCAGTGTACGGCTGCGCAGCTGCTTGTCCCGTGAGGCGTATTGTTCGTGCATTGCATGCTTGCATGGGGGGTGGGAAACTGGTGAGTGGGGAGTTGAATTTTTTTTTTTTTTTTAAATATACTCACGATAGAGCGATGAAGGGGAAGGCATAGCAGTGGGGGGGTTGCATGGTTTGCTGCATGTCTGGGTGGTTGCCGTCTTCCTGTAAACCAAACACACACAAAGTGATTGTCGTGTGAGTTGGTGTTTGTCTCTGACCGTTTGCAAGCCAACAAGGCCTTTAAAGGAATGAACCAATAAGCAAAAAACCAAAGTGTGCTCCCCCCCACCTCCCTTCCCAAGAGATGTCTCACGCTTGATTTTGGTTTATTGGTTCAGAACGGGTCTCTTGTTGTGAGCCTCCAATCCCCAATGTCGGAGCTGTGGGTAATCGAAGTCACTGTGTCAACAAACATCACTGGTCTGCCTGACCTTTGAGGACTAATATGATCTTCGCGAGTTATTTTATATCACAATTGTGACAATCAAGCCATTGGATTTGAACTTTCCCATATTTGGGTCAAACTCACTCCAGGTGCTTATGCACAGCTCCTTCACTCCACCTTTTAGCCCCTCCCCAAACCCCTCCCCTTTGTCACTTGGAGGTTCCACAAACAATCCCAACCGTATTTGTTTCTCAACGTGATTGACCCTCCCCACAGAGACTCCTTCGCATGGATCTGCCCGTGGCTGACGACAACACGGTGCACTTTAACTCCACCCTCATGGCTTTGATCCGCACAGCGCTGGACATCAAAATCGCCAAGATTTCTGAAGGTGCACCATCCCTCTTAGTTTCTCAGAAACGGTTGTCTGCAACTCCAAAACGGCCACATAATATATAATCCCCTAAAAAAAAATCCACCAGATACTGAACCTTATTGGTATTATAATTTTGTCACTATTATGAAAACTTCATGCGCTACAGAAAAGACAAAAAACAAATTGTTGACCAGTGTTAGTATAGGATACATTTTGGTGGTCTAATTTGTGAAATTGATGTTTTAGATTTGGTAATGACAAGTACAATTTTATAGACAGCAATTATTGGGTCCTTCACGTTACAACTGCCTTCACACCTAATCATGGCACATTTCTTCCCGTTTCTGTATTGTCTTCTTGGGTGAATGCGCATACGTGGCTGTGTATGTCTGCGTATCTGTATTTGTTCTGTCTGCATGTTTGTGCCAGGTGGTATTGACAAGCACCAGATGGATGCCGAGCTGAGGAAAGAGATGATGGCAATCTGGCCCAATCTCTCCCAGAAGCATCTGGACTTGCTGGTTACTCCCCACAAGTGTAAGTTGCAGTGCACAAGGGCGCGCGACGCGGGCCCGGCCGCAGCCGACTTCTCCGACGTTGTTTCTCTTCCACGCCACCTGAGGATCGCTTCTTTCTGCCAGTCTCTCTCTTCACCGCCGCACCCTCTGATACAGCAATGACCGAAAAGTGCGCGCACACGAACTCGGCGACCAACGCCGTAACCTAAAATCAGAGGGTGCCTTTCTATAGAGCAACTCTCTATAGATGTCTTTTCACTACAGGGCCAGTCGGAGTTGTGCATATCTAGAAAACGGAACACTATTGTTCTGCCCTTCTATTGATTGATGAAATGTGAAGCTAAAGTAGGCCTACTATTCTTGCCATTTGTTTAATGCATGCTGTTGATCAATATACAGCGATGCCTTGAGATATAAGTGATAATTCTTCAGAACGAAATGAATTAAAAGTTGTGTATTTAAAAGAACGTGACTTTACTCGAAAGTCTCCTATCACAATGCAAATGCAGGGCAGGAAACGCCGTAGACAGGCTAACGCATGGCATTGAAGATGTGGCGTTAGGACACTTTAAGCAACAGGTATTTGAAAGCTAATGGTGGAGAAACCGATGTAGACAGGCGGTAGCCTATAACAAAATTCAGAGTCGCAAGCATATATTCGATAGAGTGATGACTGTATTATACTGCCCCCGGTGGCCAAGTCACACAGAACAGAAGAAGCTACGTTGAATTTTAATTTTTCATGGTGCATAATTTTAATTGGAATTGTTTACATTCAATAAAATTAGATTCCAGTGTTTTTATAAAGTACAATATTATGGAGTGCTAGTTTTCTTTACACATTACAAAAAATACTTGATATTGGGGGGAGGCTGAAACGGTTTAAAGGCATTGACATTCATTTTAATGAGGAAAGTTGAGAGAAAATGTGGCTGTTTGGAGGCACGAGTGCGGTCCCGGAATGACTTAAACTCTTTTCTCAAGGCACCGCTGTAGTTCCAATACCAAGAAAAGAAAAAACAAAAACCCAAGTCCCAACGGCTCAGTCTCAACTTTTACCACTTTGTATAGCACATCACAAGGCTATGATGCGGCTAACTGCTGGAAAAAAAAAAGATCTGCCTGTGAAAAGACATTTTTGCTCAATGTCCGTCCGTGTATGTGCATATGTGGCGTGTGTGAAAGTACCCGTGCCTTTGTTGGTGTGCACGCCTCACCCTTCTCTCCCATGCCTGGCGCTCAGGGTCCATACCAAAGGGTCTAATCTTGCAGGGTAACTTGTCATTCTCTCAGCAGCGACAGACCTGACAGTTGGCAAAATCTACGCTGCCATGATGATCATGGAATACTACCGGCAGAGCAAGACCAAGCGCTCGCAAGCGCTCCGCGATGAGCAGGTAATGCATGTCTCGAGCAAGGCCCCCGGCTTGTGACCCGTCAGAAGGCGATCATCACCGAGTGTGTTCATGTTCACACGCACACACATACACACGCATTGGCTGGGTCTACAGTATGTGCTGACGTGGATTAAAATAAAAAAGGGAAAAGGCCATGTGAGATTTGGTTTTATTTTTTTGTCTTATTGCGAAATTTTTTACAGTCCGCTCCAAAAATATGGCTGCATCGACACCATTGTCATCTTTTTAACTGAAAACACCGACAAAATGGATTTGAGATCAAACAAGATGTGCTTTAACATCAGGCGAACGGTTTATAGGAATTACAAGAGCTAACGCATATTTCTTGTTTAATTTCAAGTGTCTTTTGGTGGTGTTTGGAGCTAAAAAACAAATGAGAACAGTGTCAGCGTTCTAATATTTATGGACTTGACTTTATGTTAATTAGCAACTTTTTAAAGGGGCGTTCTTGTAGAAATAACAGTGCTGCCATCTGCTGCTTTAAAGGTGTCCTCTCTCCGTTCAGTGTCCTCCATTGAGGTAGTTTAGTTTCTTGTTTTTTTTTTTGTTTTTTTTTGTGTGGTGGGGGCGGGGGGGCTATTGGGGGTCAGGGGGCTCAGTGACAGAACGTCTCTGAATTCACACACAATTTCTTCAGACAGTTTTGGTTATAACTGTCAACTGTGTCACAGAGGATTTCATTTTCCCCAGATGGAACTTGAGCCCGATATTTTCAAAGCATACTTTTAAACAACCTCCTCCAAACAGGCTCTTTTGGGCTATTTTTAATCGGTTCATTTAAATTAAAGTTGCTTACTATACTGCACTACCACAAATACAGTCTCTACTCAGCATACTGTTCCTCCACCCTCGTCCGTTTATTTGTTTTTTAATCAAGAGTTACTTATAGGCTCGCCTTGTATGTATGAATGTATTTTTTCATCTCTCATCTTCACGTTCTAATAATACGCCCGAAACATGAACACGTATCCCTATACCATGCACCCCCCTCACCCCCACCCGTCCCTTCATGGTCAATTCCTCCGATTCACCCTTTCCTTATTATTTTGACTTGTGCCCACAGCTCCGCCTTGGTATGTAATGCATCATCGGCAACATGTAGGCCGCCTGATATTTGTTTTACTTTTGGTATAATGACTGAGGTGCCTTGTGTCATGGACCCACTGTAGACATTTTGTCCACAAAGGCATGGTTGGATGCCAGCAGCCCCCACCCCTTCTGGTCCTGCTTCGCTCCTTTCCATGCCCCATTTCCCTGTCGGTCTGCCTGATAGCCGGCGATGGCCATGTCGTATATCTTACGCAGAATCGAACGCCATTACTGTTTCAGCGCGTGGAACCGCCTTCCCCCACCCAAGACGGGGGTCCGGGCCTCAACAATGCCCTCCCTCCACCTGAGACAACCGAGACAATGAGCAAGCTGTGAGTCTGGAACTCTGACCGCGTATGAAGGGAGATTCGTGTACGTTTGCGTTTGATTAGCGTGCATTTGTGTGACAGCCCGGTGGAAGGGGGGGTGCCGGAGAGCCAGTCCTGGGTCACAGCTCGTGCTCAGGAGATGTCCCAAAAGGTCGGGAGCTGGAGCCCTGAAGATGGCCTGGGAAGCATGACCACGTCGCAGGTAGAAAGCGCACATGCGCTCACTCATGCGAGCAGGATTACACCCACATACAAAACACATTCAAATTCCCAGTTTTTTTTTGTTTGTTTTTTTTGTGGAAATCATGCCCTGATTTTATCAGTTAACATTTTTAGGGGGTTGTAAAAAAAATATATATATTCATGCTTTTTTTTTTTTTTTTTAACTTTTCGGGGACAGCAGTTACTACAGTGGACAGCTTATCATGTGATCAGGTTACAGGGTGCACGAAAGGGTTAATCAAGGGTCCACTCAAGAGTGTGGTTGCGGGTGGCCACTTTCCCATCCCTGTTCTAGATTGTGAAAGTGTACCTGATGAAGCGAGTACCCTCGAAACTAGAATTAGGAAGGTTGGAAATGGCAAAGCTCGCCATCATGCTCATCTGATCCTCTCATTGACCGCATGCCTGTGTACGACCCCTTGATTCTCTGCCTCTGTGGATAGCAAGCCCCCCCCCCCACGTCCTGTGCCTACCCCCCCGATGTCCTTGGCAGCCAGTCACAACATCTCCTGCTCTCGTGCTCTGTTTACAGACGGTAGAGATGAGAGAGATGGGGCAGGATGGTTACTCGGATACTGAGCACTTTCCACCAATGGAAGGCCACGGCAGGGCCGCTTCCATGCCCCGCCTACCAGGCGACAACCAAGTGAGCAGCATTGTCACCTCTCGAACCTTCGACCTTCTGTTTCCCCTCCTCATTTTGTCTCCCCCCCACCCCACCCTGCTCATTTTGTATTTTGTCTGATCCTACAGGTCTTTGCTAAATGATTCATTGCTGTGGTTCATAGCAGACGCTGACCCTCATCAAACATTTGAAATGAATTTGATCAAACGAGACCAAACGTCATCTGGCTTCAGCATTGAATTTTCATTTTAATTTTTTTTTGCAGTGATGTTTATTTCTGAGTCTAAAGAACCATAGCAAGGCAAAGTTCAAAACCTTTACGGTCATTCTCTTCTACTCCTCCGGTTGTGTCTTCTCTTCCTCCCCTATCATCGCTCGCATGTGATCGTCCCTCTTTTCATCCTCATTCATTTTGTCTCGTTCCACAGTGGTGAGTGCTCTGGTTGTCAACGCGCAAAAAAAATGTGTCCGAGAGACACAATGTGCACCGACTGAACGCATATTCATAGGCGGGCCCATTTTTATTTACTTTGTTGTTGTTACTATGGCTCTACTTAACTTCAAATTTTATTTATGTTCCTTCCGGCTGAAGGTTTGAGAGTACTTTTGATGAATTTGGACGAGTTTCTCTTGCCCCCAACTAGCATGCGCTACGCGTGTGCGCCCGTGTGCGTGCGTGTGTGTGTGTGTGTGTGTTTGAGTTCACCCCGTTTCTGTCCGACTGTCGTACCGTGAGTGTGTGTGCCTATCTTGTACGTATATTTTACCATTGCTTTTGTGCCCATGGCGTTGATTGTGCATTTTCTCTGTGACTGTCTATAAATCACTGTTTTGACGTCTTTCACCTGCCGCGCGTGGTAAGTGTTTCTCCTCCTTCACTGCTGCTTCAGTGCCTAATTAGTCCTTCTTCCCGTGTCTTTTTGAGCGACGCTATTGCCCCCTCTCTTTATTCTCCTCCATTGTGAATCTATTCATCTTTATTATTGGTCTCCCGTCGCCTGTGCTCGTCTGTTGTCCTGGTTCTGCTTCATTTGTGGCTGTGTGTGTGTGTGTGTGTGTGTGTGTGTGTGTGTGTGTGTGTGTGTGTGGTGTGTGTGTGTGTGTGTGTTTTGTGTGTTTTTTCTGTGCTCACACAGAAGCGGAGGAAGGGAAAGCAGCGTGGCAGTCACCTCAGTGTATGTCCCCTGTCTTCCCTGTGCCCCCCCCCTGCCCCCCCGCCCCGCTCTTGTCATCTCTTCTCTGTCGCTCTGACTTGCACTTAAAACGCATTCCCACCAAGCAGTTCAATTCGGTTCTCTTTTCGGAATAGTAGGAAGTTGTTTGCATTTCCACATGGTGAAGAATACATGCCGCTGCGGTTAGCACCCGTTCGATATGAATAGTTTTGACCTAGACACTCTGAAGTCCATGAATTGGTAGATAGAGACTCAAACAAAAATAGTCCGAAGCTTTCTTAAACTAAACTCATCTTAAGTGAACAGACACTAAGAATATTTACGCTCACTGTCACTGTTTGGTAGCCATGGCCAAATACTGTAAATACGACCAGAATTTTTTTTTGGGGGGGCGGGGTCTACGGTCATTTTCACGTCACCTCTTGTCGTGAACAACTGTGCCACATACTGACTGGTGGGGCCTCTAGCGTCTCTTTCTGCTGCTGTTTGGTCTCTCTTTGTCAGTGTGCTTGCCATGAATGTTCTTTCTTTCTTTTTTTTTGTCTCCATTCATACCTGCCTACTCGCATGCAAATTGATATCGACTGTAAGCGGCTGTCTGTTCATGGGAGCCTGTTTGTTGTGTGTGAGAGGAGATGTCAGAGGAATGACGCGAGTGGAAATGTTGGGATTGTCAGTACCACCACTCCTTGGAGGTCAGATCATATGGTGCTTAACGTATACGTACACTATATGGACATTTTTTACTTCATGAACTCATTCATCGATTTGGATGATTCTTTGCTTGCGACTTGACAACCGCTGGAGAAAGCCTTCCGTTCCGCTATGACGTGGCTGGGTTGACTTTGGTATGGCAGAACACGACATCAAGCACCTTTAAAACAATAGAATGCTATCCTGATGTAGTCATTTGTTCTTTGCTTCGTATGGAACGCAAACAGCACTGATGTAATGAACGGCGGGCCTAATTAGTGTTGGAAAAAAACCAAAACTATATTTCTGACTTGAGTGATTAGAGAGTAGGGAATGAGTGACCGATTCTGTATACAGCCCAAGTCGATATTTTTAATTTCCACTCCCCGTGAAGTGTCCTCAGCAGGTCTCCCAATACTTTTGTCCATATAGTGTACTTAGAATACCAACTTTGTAGTCGACTTAGGCACCATTGGCTCTCTCCTACTGTCTTGATCGACATGTCGAGTACTCGGGAAAGCCTGCATGGCCGGAGCAAAGCAAGCACGATGTACAGAGCAGGAATACGCACTGGAGTTTCCTACAGCCTGGAATGTGCCTTGCTCATGGGGGTTATGGGAAACGAGGATGGAGTAAAGATGCAAGTCTCACTGACCCTTCAATACCTTTTTTTTTAAAGAACTTACAGAAGCATGAAGGCATGGCTGTTTGCCATCATCTCAAATTTTCTTTGTCTTTTTGATATTTGTCGCATTCCTTCCCTCCGAGCTTTTCGCAGTGCTATGAAGGCGGCTTTACTGCAATCTTTGTAATGATGCAAGGGGAAAATTGGAGCCGGTTGTGAATTAAGTTTAAAAAAAAAAAAAAGATTAAGGTCAAACACGTGCAAACGCACAATCGCGCTCAAGATTCAACACTGAAAATGAATCTCTCAGCATGCGTCCCTCCTTGTTTCTCCCGCAGGCCATCGGTGACAACAGCCCCATGAAGCGCTCGGCCTCATCGTTAGGTCACAGCAGGTCAGGACGCGGTAGCAGAGACAAAGGAGGCCCGGATGGCTACAATATGGAGCGCGTTATACCCGAGGAAGGTCGTGCTTCCAGGCACGGGCACAGGAGAAAAGAGCGCAGCCATCGTGCCTCCGAGAGGTCGCTGAGTCGCTACGCGGAAGCGGACGCAGGTTGGAGGCATCCCAGACACGCGCAAACACACACACCTCGTCATTCACAACATTTGCATAAGATGATTGAAAAGTAACCAAAAAAGTAACTAAACACCTGGACCGGTATTTCAGGCAATACAGAATCTAATTATGATGCAACCCCCTATCCCCCCCCCCCCCTCAAAAACACTGTTTTATGTTCAACTCTCATTTCCATCAACTACTGTATAGACAGAATTTGTTGCTGTACTAATCCTCTGCTGTCGGGTTTGGACACAGACACTCAGTCCGGTGACCTGATGTCCAGGGACAGGGATCGGGATCGAGATCGTGGTCGGTCCAAAGACCGCAAGCACCATCACCATCATCACCACCATCACGGCTCGGTGGACAAAGAACGTTACGCGGCGGAGCGTGGCGGCGAGTACGGCCGCAAGCATTCTCGCGACAGAGAGCCCGACCGGGAGAGGGAAAGGGAGCGAGACCCGCGGTGGTCGCGATCCCCCAGCGAGGGTCGCGATTGCATCACACACAGACAGGTGGGCTTCCAGGTATTCGGATGATCACACTTTAGAGTCGGGATTGCCTCACGTTAAACACAGTGAGGGTAAAACGTGAGCTGTTGCGCAATCTCAGTCGGTGTGCGGGTACACAGAAATATGCAATAGTCAATATTTGATCATTAAGGTGTCATGACGACGGTTGTTTGCTCCAGCCTTTGAATTGTGCTGGTGCTCGAATGTCGTATCTGGTGGATGGATGTTGCCAAGATATGAATCAACGTGAATTTATGTGAACAACTGAACAAATATGCACACGGTCGTGTATATTTGTCCACTGGAATGCCGTATTCAATTTCCTCTCCCTCACTCACTTTTCCTCCATTCCAACTGGAAGTTCACAGTGCCTGAGCACACATGCTGTGATGAAAAGGCAGTGGCGTGCAGTGAGGGGAGGCAGGTGAGGCTGTGCCTCCCCTGTCATCACAAGTATTCATATTTGTCCGCTGGACAATGATTTTGGTGTCGTTCTTCATCTATTTTGACCATTTTATAGTCAAAATCGCCGTGCGATGCTACAAGCTGTCATTTCTCGCCCTGAAAATGGAGGATTTCATTTCAGTCAGTGCCTCGCCCAACCCCAATACAACCCTCACTGCACGTCACTGATGTAAGGTTGCACAGTATAAGTGATAAGACGTGTGTACCGTCCTTGCATTTATAGATATAAACGTATTGATTCTGTACCACAAAGGATGCTCTGGAAATCAACCCTGTTCCTCCTCTTCTTGTTTTCTCTCCTTTGCATGGCATGTCTTTTTCATCCACATCCCTTGCACCGATACTTTACCTTTCTCGACACTCACATCACTTGTGCTTTTATTGTGCTTGTCTTCTCGTGCTTTTCTTATAATATATCCTTTCGTCTCCCATCCTCGACTATATGTTCTGTCGTTGACTTTGTGGTTCGTACTTTTTATTTGCCTTATTTCACTTTTCGTGTAGGGCAGTAGTTCGGTCAGTGGAAGTCCTGTTCCATCAACCTCCGGGACTAGCACACCGCGCCGAGGCCGCCGTCAATTGCCTCAGACGCCCGCAACGCCCCGCCCCCACGTTACGTACTCCCCGGTAGTCCGTAAGGCCATGCCCGCACAACCTGCGGGGCCTCAGGGCCGGGCCCCGGCCCCTGTTCCCCGCAGATTGTCTCCTGATGTTCCCCAAGGTCCGGTCTCTCTTGCCGGTGTCCCACCGGCCCACCACGGCGTGCCCCGCCAGACTCATCACCTTCCACTTCGCTGGGCAGACACAGATGGGGGATCTCTAGAAGGGGACGGCTGCTTTTACAACCAAAACTACGTGCCCCACCACGAACCGCCAGCCCTTGAGCCAGGCAGCAACCCCCACCCTCACCCCTTGGCCAGCCACCAACTACCCCCGCCTCCTCAGCCGCAGCCGCGCAACCTGCACCCGCTCCCTCCACCACAGCCGCACCCCGTAAACAACCCCAACCCTCACCCCTTGCCGCCACACCCACAGCCAAACCGTACCTCGCCTAGGACCGCCCACCACATGCCCCCATCGACCGCTCCCCTGACTGGGCCCCTTCAAGGCCAAGTGCAGCCCCCCGCCCAGCGTCGCCTACCCAACGGTTACCGCTCTTCGTCACCTTCCACACATCTCCATGGACCCCAACACAGTGGGCCTCACAAGGTCCCACCCCCAGCGGGACACCCAAGAGGACCCCGCAAGGGTCTGCATGAACCCTATTGCGAGAAGGAGCAGGACGACTGGTGCTAGCCCACAGTACACGGACTGACGTGACATTAGCCAGTCCTTGGAATGTTCCGGCAAGGAATGAAACCAGAATGCTCAAACGTGAAAACAAACAAACAAAAAAAAAACTACAGGAAAAAGGTACCAAACGTGTATTGATGTCGCATTCATCACATGACAAAACATGTCAAAGTACAGCTTTGAAGGACGCAAGTTAGAGCGGCGATTTAAAATTTTGTCTCTGGTCAAGAGCTACAGCCACTTACAAGATGTCAAGAGTTGCAACTCCCCCCAAAAAAAGACACAAAAGGGTTTGTTTGGTTTTTTTTTTTTTGCTTCCTCAAGCTAACTGAATTGTGTTAGCTAGAAAAGAAGTCAACTCTAAACCCACCCAGCCACCTGTTTGAATATTGATGAGTTTTATCATCTCTTTTTAAATTAGAACTAAAACTGACAACGAGCCCTCCGCCTTGTACGAGGCGAGAGGCTGTGGCTACGAGAGTTGGGTATGGGGGGGGCGTCGACTCGGTTAGGCTGGAATCCGAGGAGGTTGTGATCACCCTCTGCCTGGAAAGAAACTATTCACGCCTTCCTCCGTCGTGATGGAGAAACAAAGTGATGACGGGTTTAAGCACCAAACCAGTTCTCTGCAGCATTTCTTCTCTTACTGCAGCGGCTGCTTCTTCCGCTTCTTCTCCTCCTTCAAAACATGCAAGCTTGAATCTCCTGTTGCACCCTCACACATCTTTTTTTTTAAAGACTTTAAACCCGGTTTGATCCTGCATGAATGACCAAGAAAAAAAAAAAAGAGAGAGAATACGAGCAACACAGAGAATCTACTGTATGTCAGGGGGAGGGACATTTTTCTTCCTGTTGTAGCCTGTAGATTTTGGAGGTTAAATTACCTTTCGGTTTCTCTCTCTTTCTCCCCGTTTTTGACATTCCTCTCTTGATAATCTCATATTCACTCAAAAAGGTCATAGAAAGAAGTTACGTGTCATTGTAAGAAAAAAAAAAAAGACTTTTTGCTTGCGTGTCTCCATGTTGTGTGCCAAATGCCTGCCACTCATACAGATGGAAATGCACTTTTTTCTTCTGAACTTTTCTAACAAAAGTGATCATCTTACAATGATAAACTTGGCAAGCAGGGTAAAGTGGATGTGGCAGCGTTCGTCTTGCTTGGAAACATTTCCGAGCTCTTCCTAACACTCCGGAAAGAGATTGACGGACAGAAAGGTGGAGAATGGAGAGAAACTGGTTGTTTTCTTTGACCATAACAAGGGAGCGCATACATGCGATGTAATAATCCTGTGGCGTATTGAGATGGCCCGGCTAGCCACTTTTCAAAGCCTGGGGTGCAGCTATGGTGCCGTTGCATCATGGGAGGTGGACTTTCTTCAATATGTGAGGTCGCCAAAGTAGTTTTTCATCTTAAGGCTACACTGGAACCTCCAGGTTGACCACAGTCAAATTTTATCAATTTAAAAAAAAAAAGTTGAGATCAGTTCCAGGGACACAAGAAGTTGCCTTGCATAGCCACAGTCAGTCTTCACATAAAGTGCTGCCACATTTTGCTTCTTGACTCAGATAAATCATTTTTCAAATCATCTTTCCCAAGTGAAATGCCATTCATTTGCTCCAGCCTTCCAAAAAAAAAACGCAGCCTAAAATGTGTAATGTGTTTTTTTTTTTTTAAATGTGAGAAATAGTATTCTATAGTATCGGACTTTAACGTGGAAAACCTACAGTTCTTCGGGAATGAAATCAATTTTAAAAGATTTCTTCATAATTCATTTGAATGGCCATTAAGCTGCTGCCCGGTTTGGCCACCTGGGGGCAGTATAAGACAGACTGTATCCAAGTATTTCCCCAGCATGTGTCAGCATTAGCATTAAGCTAGGCGACTAAAGGCTCAGCTATGTTCTTCTTTAAAAACCACGTGTAATTCTCCTTTTAGCTTTAGTTTGGCATTAAATTTAGACCGGGGAGGGACAGTTCGTCCATCCTTGCCCAGCTTGTATTCATCCCTTTATCCTTTGTTTGCAGCCTTAAAGGGTGTTCGACTTTGTAGGTTCCACTGTATTTCGAATTTGGAGGGTTTGATCGAGAGACAAGCCGAAGCAAGCGACACTTGATTTCTGACCCCTGTCCCATTAGGTTTATATGTGGTGTCCCAAAAGTCACTATTCAATTCCTGGTTTCTATTTCATCTCAGACGGACGTGAGGCCATCAGCATTTGGCAGCTTCGGCTTAGCAGTTTGTGAAAGCATATCATACCCTTGCCCATGGCTTTGCAATTGCCCGTTATCATTAATTTTAAAAGCACTTGTTTTGACTTTAATTTGTTAAAGTCAATGATTGAACACTTTTACTTGTTAGCTTTCGTCCATAGTTTTCATTAATTTGAATAACCTTGATTATAGTAGCCTGGTGAAAATTTGGCAAAGCCGCTCCAATGTCATTCATGGGCAAGCAAATGAGATGCTTATGGAACTGCAATTCTGTCAAATGCTGCTGGCCTTGCGTGTGTTTGAATCATTACCTGAAACGAAATAAGAAAAAAAAGGAAGTGACTTTTCAAACATGTGGTCTATTAAATGTTTGAAAAATGCATCCCAATTATTAGCTCAGTTTGCTTTCGACCCTGGCCTGCTCTGATCCAGAAACTGTTTGAAGAAAAACATCCAATGTCCTGTATTTCCCAAATTCCGATCCACCTGTGACCTTCACGATAACACCCCACTCCCCCACAGCCCACACAAAAAAAAAAAAAAAAAAAAACATTTGAGCTCATTTTGCCACGACGACCAGTCTGCCTTGTGTGTTTGAACACACATGGGCAATTGAAAAACATGAGGTCACTCAAGGTCACAGTCAGGGGCTGAAAAGATGTCGGGGCTTTGTTATGGTCCAAGAAAACACCAACGCTTTGTCTGCCTCACGTGTATATAGTGAATTTCTTTTTGTGTGTTTCTACGTGTGCCTCCGACTAACACATTTTACAACACCACTGTCAGCATTTTTAGCGTTATGTGTAACTGTTATTTTCTGTTTTATCACATATTGACCACAGAATGCACCCCAGAAAATAACAAAAAAAAAAAAAAAAAAAAAAAAAAAAACCTATCAGTGTCTTTCCAACCTCAGCGGAATGTCACGGACAAGTATTTTTTCACAACACTTTGGAATGAGATAGCACACAAGGTATGTAGCGAATACTTGTGGTGTGTGTGTGTGTGTGTGTGTGTGTGTGTGTGTGTGTGTGTGTGCGTGTGTGTGTGTGTGTGTGTGTGTGTGTGTGTGTGTGTGTGAGAGAGGTAGTGACATTTTCCTCATTGGTTGCACACTTTCTGCCTCAAAAAAAAAAAATGTGGGTGTGTATGTTTGAACTGCAGTCTTTCGTTGTTTGTGCGGCACAGCCCTTGACATCCCACCTTAAATGTGGGGACATTTTTTGGGGTGTATATTTTGACTGGTCTGCACCTAAAAAAAAAAAAAAAAAGATGCCGTGCGTGTGTATGCATGTGTGAGTTATCATGTAAATGGAACGTGCAAAGCTCAGATCAATCACCATCCTTTTCTTTTTTTTTTTTTGTCTATGCTGCAGTGAAAGCCACACTAATTAACCACACCAAGTCTTCAAAGAGCAATGTAAAGCCGCAAATGAGAAGAAAACAATGTTTTTATTTTAAAAATAGAAATGTTAAATAAAAAAAAAAAAGTTTGAAAAATATCTAGTTCAAGAACTGCATGTGCTATGTGCATGCCACACTGTGGGTTAACAGTCATCTTCAGGACACAAAAGAAAAACAGACTAATGAATTCATAGATATTGAAAAAATGATATATAAATAGATGTTTGTTTGTTTTTTAAAGAAGCAACCTTTTTTTCTTCTATTTTTGAAAACAAAAAATATTACGAAAAAGGACCAAAAAAAACTAACAAAAAAAAAAAACAAGGGATCAAAATACAAAGGAGACTTTGGTGAGAGTATTTTTTTCCTGTTATGGGCTCGAGGCACAACACAATGTTGAATGTTGAAGACACCACAGCATATATGGAGAAAAAAACAAAACAAAGAAAAGAAGTGCAGATCCAATGATGATATGTTTTGCCGATATTTGTCGTATGTGGAGAGGGTTACCAAACTGGAGAATACTTGGCTGTGGAACCTCTGATCTCTCACTCACTCACTCTGTCCTTTTCTCTCCTTTTCTGTCTTTCCGACGCTGTCTCTTTCACACTCTTATCTCTCTGATCACTCTCGACCTGTCTCACCACAATTTCTACCAGTGCATTTTGTAATTCCAAGCAACTCTTCCTAAAGAATAATAAAAATAAATAAAATTTAAAAAAAACAGAGAATGCACACTGGGTTGTCTAAGAGTCATTTCTGGGTCACCAGGTTGTTTTACAGTTTTACAACAATCACCTAGAACAGGGTTTTCCAAAATTCGTAGTAGTGGTTACTCCAGTACTTTCGCCCCCCCCCCCTCACACACACACACACACATTTTTAAAATTACTGGTACACTTGTAACACTGCCCACCCAGCCCCCTTTTTTAACAGCAGTGCAGGACATGTCAAAAATTATTTTTACGACTGGATAAGCTGTGGGCCGCTCAAAAACGGGTGGCAAGCTATAAATGCCCCCCAGGCCGTAGTTTAGACACCCATGACCTAAAATGTCACAAAAATGAAGGGGAAAGCAGCATGATGGGCAAGTGGTTAGCATATCAACCCAAAGCCAGACAGAAAAGGCGACAAGTCACCCTGAGTTTGGTGCGAGTATGCTTTTCATTGTAATGTACGGTACTTAGAAGGAAGGTTGCCACATGTACAGTAAAATAAGGAAACGTCCTTAAATTTTTTTACGCCCAAGCGTACGTGCAAAGTTTACGAAAATACAGTAGACTGCTACATTAACTTGCAAAATGGCCACCGCCTGCGGTGGATAAAAACGGCTGCTTAAATCGCATTCCGCAATATAAATCAGAATAACGTGCTTCAACGAATGAGACTGCCATAGACCATATTATTGTAAAGAACATTTTTGTGTGACTTCTCCTTTAAATGAAGACAATCGCTTTGGCCATCAAGATAGTCAGATAGTTGCCTGCATTCTGTTCACTCACCTAAAGAGGGCAGCACTGCCTTGTATATAGAAAATTGCAAGCCTTTTTCGAAACAAAATGAAAAGTCTGCTTCCATACACGATCTAAATAAATTATCCATCCATTCATTTTCCGATCTGCTTATCCTCAAAAGAACGATTTATTGAAAAAAATAAATAAATAAAATACTACATGGAAAGCAAAAAATGGACATCACATGAAGGTATTACATTTCATCACTGGTACCCACACTGACAGATTAATATACTAAAATATCTCGAATACATTGCTCATTTGTCATTCCCAACTGACAGGAAAAAAATCGATCGTAGTAGTGGTACTGATAGTTGCTTTCCACAGTGAAACAGAATCCCTAATAATTTTTTTTTTTTTTAAATTGCTAAAAGTTGAACAACTGCTCCCTAAAAGTACAATAGCTCATAGAAAAAAAATAGACTTGAAGAGAGAACTTGTTACAAATCTTTTATTAAGATATTCATCATTGACTCCATTTGGACATTTTTTTATTTTACAGTTTGTTAATGTGCAATTACCGTCAATAATGTTGGGTCACAGTTACAGGGCTTTCACAAAGTTATTGGCACTTGGAACACAGAAAGAAGAGGTGGAGAGGTGGCGGCGCTGCGGGGCTTGACACTGGATACACCTCATGCTGTGAGTGGACAACAAACAACCTTACCTCTAAGTGTGTCTATGCGTTATATACAGTATTCCTCTATACATATATATATATATATATATATCATATTTATATATGTACCGTTGTGTGACACTAGGATCTCCATGCCAAGCCACACATCATCCGTTCATGTGTGTAGGTTGACGTGTGTGGAGTGTAAACACATTTTGAGGGACGAAAAAAAAAAAAAAAAAGGACACTCATTCGCAAAGCTTGTAGTCGATAGACAGTGAAGACGAAGGCTCTCACAGAAGGGTTCACCTTGAAGTTTGGAGTGGGCGAGGCCATGGCCGAAATCCTGCACTCTGCCCGGACCGCTGACGTCAAAGCGAGCAAACGCTTGCTTCCTTGGAAAAGAGTGCTGATTCACAGCTACTACTGCAGCACGGGAGCCAATGAGTCATCAGTTAGAAGGGAATCCGGATCAGTCAGTGCATCTGTGCGATGCTGATTTAGGACCTCGTTATTAGTCACACGTCTCCCGCTGCCAACGTTCTTGGTTTTGAGCAGTAGGAGAAGAAGAAAATTCAGTGCAAAACTGAAGGGCATTTCTCGGACTGCAACAGTGGAGGTATGCCGACGACTTACAACAGGGCGATGAGCATCAAAACTCTTTGCGAAGACATTTGCTGATTGTGGGGAACTGATTGTTGATTAATTGGGGGGGAAAAAAAGGACATGAGCTGGAGTCCACGACTTGGCGCTGTTGACTCAGTCTCGACTCGTTTGCTTGCTTGGCTAAAACGCGCGCCCTCGAAGGACCACGAGTAGCTTAAGTTTCTTAATTTATACTAACATGGGAGATTGGCAGCAGAATAAACCTGACTGGGGGAGTTGTCTTAACTCAATTCAAAACAGACAACAAAGAAATGTCACAACTCCAACAAAACACACACACACACACACACCCACACCCAACAAAACACACACACACACACACACCCACACCCAACAAAACACACACACACACACACACCCACACCCAACAAAACACACACACACACACACACCCACACCCAACAAAACACACACACACACACATGAGAAAATAGTAGTAAGCCAGTGAGCATTTGAAAGTTGAGTCCAAGCACAAGGCTGCTGATGCTGTGGTGGAGGTGAACAAAACACCGGGAAGCACAACAGTCTTCAAAAGATTTCTGCAGAGGTAAGTGGAGTGCTTGTATGAGGTTTTGTAGTTATTTACTGCTTCATCCCAAAAGTACTGCATCTCTCTTTGCATTTTTGTTTTCTTTTTAAATCTCACAACACACATTCATGTGGTTTCAAAAAGGATGACTGGGGGTGATGCGTATTTTAAGTGAGGTTGAGCTGGCCAGGAATGGAAAAAGAAGCACAGCAAGCCACTCGCGTTAACACTTGAGGAAGAAAAAAAACAAACACCTTTGCGTCCGACGTGTCGGCGCGTTGAGGGTTTTCCTGAAGACGCTCCGCACAGTCTCAGTAACAAAGTCATTCAGTAACAGGAACATTGAAATCAAAGGCGTGTCATCTTGCCACTTAAAACTGAACCGCGTGCAGATTGGAGGAAGGAAAGGACAAATTCTACCTCAACAGGTTCAATCAACACATCACTTGTCAATAAGGTGCACAAACCACCGGTTCTTCTCCTTAAGGTGCGAAACCCTCCACCCTGCCTCATATGGAAGGACCTCCAAAATAAAAAGGTATCAACACACCGATTCCTCCTTCACATCCACACAAACACCAAGAAAAGTCAACCGGAGCGATTTTGCTGCGGGCGTCTTTCGTACCGAGCAAAATTCCGCTTATTGTTCTCCATTGTAAAGGCACATTCCACGATTCCGCAAATATGACCTCCCCCACCCGGAACACGATTAGAATACAAAGTACAGTAGTCATTTTGGGGGGCCTTAACTTCCCTGCACGTCATTGTCAAAACAGTCGAGCCAGCTGATTCCGTCTACCTGCTTTTCGGCTCATCAACAGAAGATGAAATGCGTCAAAAGTAGCAGTTCCACTGCCCATTCCATCTGTACCGCACCAGAAGATAACCACCAATTATTCACGGTGCAACGATGCCGTATCATACTTCTTTTCACTGTATAAAATTAGCACTTCTTCTCATTAGCCGCCGCCTCCTTCAACAAAACGTCGAGAATTTAAAACAATCTCCCCCCCGTCCCCGCTCGCACGTCGCAGCAGGCGCGGGCACGCGTACAAATATAGCTTCTCTTCTAAAAATATGACCATCTTTTCATTACCTGTTGACCACAAAAATTTTCATTGGAGTCAGCTCAGTAAAAACCTGCTCCCAGTCACTCTGATCAATGGTCAAGCTTGCTAAAAATATACAAAACAAAGATGGGATATTTATATAACACTGCACAGTAAAACACAACAAAAGGTAGATTTGGTCAAACTCAGTTGTGGTGGGGCTGGGGGGGCACGAAAACTTGATTGATAAGTGGAAGATCAAATTGGAGGAGATACACACAAACACACGCACTTACTGGCACGCTCATTTTGGGAGTTTGTGGAACAAAAAGTAGGCATTCTCGCACGGGGGTTAAGAAAAAGAAAAAATGCCACCAACGCTTACATTCAATACAAACTACGAACGACGGAGAGCCTTTGGAGCATTTAATCGACAGCCTTGATATTCACTTGGAGGTCCGTGTACTCAGATAAGACGACTGGTGCATTGAATTGACGTGCCAAATGGGTTTATGCTCATACTTATGCACTATTGGAATACAAATAAAGGGTACACATATATGTGTTTGTGTGTGTGTGTGTGTGTGTGTGTGTGTGTGTGTGTGTGTGTGTTTACGTCTGAGATCAAATTTGCTATAGTGAAAAGTCCCCTGTTGTGAAAAATGTCTGGCTGCAAACATGATTTCATTGTAGAGGAGTTCGACTGTAGTTGGGCGCAGTAGTGTCACGAGTGCAGCCCAGTCGTTACAAGTATGGTACAATTGCACACGAATAGACCAAAACTAGCGCATGGACTTCAAGCTGGATATCAAGTCTATCCAAATAAATGCGCCAGTTCCATAATTAAGTGGCTTCCTCGCCATGCACCCTCCCCTCCTCAGGTTCCGCCATCAACTCGTACCACTGAGCACTACTGGGAATGTATTTCATATGCGACAACCGATGTGCTGACACTCCTTAAAAGGGCAAGGAGAGGCAGAGGACAGCCGGGTGCCCTGTCACGCGCTCCCTCCCTTCGAAAAGCTCCGTTATACAGTCTGAAAAGAAAAACAAAGGTCGCTTCCGTGTCCCGGTTACGGCCGTAGCGGTGTAGTATAGACAGTCACGTGTGAGAGTGAGGAGGCAAGCGCAAGTGGGAAATACTGCCGCGCGTGTCACGAAACGTCCCCCGACACCACGCTCAAAATAACGCTCCCACGTCCCCGCTCACGCCCGGTAAGGATTCACCTGAAGAGCCGCCCGACTCGGCGCCGGCCGATGCCGAGGCTTCGAGGGAGGCGGGGTCGAAGGCCGGGTCGGCGCCCAGGGTGTCGTCCTCCGCTTTGACGCCGTCGGAGAGGAAGGCGGAGTAAGCGTCGCTCTCGGCGATCAGCAGCTTGAGCTTGGGGATCCAGCTCTTGCGCACCACTCGCCGGGCGTTAGTGCACATGTCGGCGGCGATGGCGTTCATCTCGCTCTCTTTGAAGCTGGTGGCAAAGTTCTGGCAGTAAACTGGCGCGAGGGGAGGAGAAGCACAACATAAGCGGAGCCTTCTCTCACATATTTCATGCCGCCAGCTCTGGAACCAATCAGACTTCCGATTTGCCTGGCGCGAAATAACGTAACGCGTGCTCACATTTGACCGCGTGGAGCACTCTGTTGTCCAGGGGCTTGCGGCTGGGGTCGTTGGTGGATGAACGGATGCCGGTTCCGCAGCTGTTGGCCAGCGTGTTCCTGGGTAAGGGTGTGAACGGAAGGCCAAAAATAAGAAAAAAGCAAATGTTCGTCCGGCACCAAAAAGCAAGAGGTGGGCACGGGAGAGCAACCTGTCGAAGAAGGCGGCCAGCAGCCTCCTCAGCAGCACCTTGTGTCTGGTCCCGGCACTCACATGACAGTTCATCAGCTGGGCCCGGGAAATAAAGACAGACGTACCTGCGGACACGCATCCAGAGACGAGCAACAATTTGATATATTTACCGCTTCAACATTCCAATGGAAGATTCACTCCGATTTTGTTTCCCTTTCGATATCTCTCAATTTCGGTGCTCCATTCTTATCAGATCAGAGGATACCTCCCGGTTAGACACGCGTACCTGAGACCAGCTCGAGTTTCTCAGCAGGGTCTCCCTCCTCATACAGTTTGGGATGGCAGCGGTTGCCGATTTGGGCAATCAACTCCGCCGGGAGACAAGTGAGGTCTCGGCCACGCATGCGCCCCCGCGTCTCCGTGTGGTCGGGAAGAGCTTCCACCCGCTCGCCGGCAGCTGAGAGAAACACGACGCGGACACATTAGAGGCTCAGCGGCACCCGCGCAAATGCCGATTCAATGGGATGTCATGTCGGTTACCTGCGGCCCCCATGTTGAGCATGCTGTACATGGTGTACATGTTGCAGATTTGCCTGTACTGCTCTTCAGCACACTCCTCTGTGCCCTCTTCCTCCTCTTCATCGTCGTGGTAGCTGATGGGTGAGTCACTAGCGTAGGTGCTCAGGGTGCCCGGGCTGGCGCCCTCTGACATGCCCACGCCGGATGCAGAGGTCCCATTGGTGCTCGCACTACCACTGAGCCCGCCGCCCGCCATCATGCCAGCCAGGCCGGTCGCCGTGGCCCCCATACCCATGGCCAGTCCGAGCGCTCCGGGGCTCTGGATGGCACTGCCTCGCGCCGCCTCCTGGGAATAACGCGCGGCCTTTCTGGCGCCCCCTCCTGCCCCGGAGCCTCCTCCTCCTCCGTCGCGGCTGCTGCCGCCCTCCCACAACCGCTTGGCGACAGGAGCGCAGACCACGGAATGAGCGGCGGCTTCCGGTTGGCTTGCGGGCTGCTCCGTCTTCACCCGTGACACTAACGGGAGAGGCGTCAAGCAGGCGGCGGGCCGGGCCGCGCCGGTACCCGTCTGCGTTACGGGGCTCTGAGGCTCCGATGGCGGAGCCTCCTCCGCGTTGAGACCCTGGGAGTCGCAACTGGGGGAGGAGACCTGAAAACGAGCATGTCGACAAATTCGGCGTCAGCATATAACACACATTGGGTATGGGTGCACCGCCGCTGAATAAAGGCGCTGCAAATAAGTTATTATGTATGTGATCATATGGAGAGTTTGACAAAATGCAATAAACAAGCGAAAACTAACCGGAATTATATTACGTTAATAAAAATAACTATAGCTACAGCAGAAATGGCCTTTGTTTTCATGCTTGTTCAATTATAATCTTGACAAATAATCCACACGTTAAAAAACTAAAACTAACAAAACTAAAATAAACCAAGCATACCAAGTGCAAAAATTAAAAAGCAATAAAAACGAACAAACCTGCTCTAAAAACTAAATATGATTAAATGAATGTGAAAACCAAATCAAAACTCAAATGAAAAATCCAAAACGAAGACAAACCTGCAAGTAAGGCGTGTTGTAAACGGCCACATTAATCATTGTAATGAATGAACCGATTAAGCAGTGCGTTCAAACTCAGTGCTTTCCCGCTATCAGACTTGCAAAGCAGATTAAATCCCGTGAGCACATTAACAAATTCTCACAAAGCTACCAGCGGTCAGAGTCCACACCAATCAAATCTTGCCCTGACATAATGCGCGGGGGGAATTAATTGCGAATGAATATCTTCCAGTGTTCATCTCAATTATTGGCCATACTGGAAAATTGAACATCGACACCAAGTCGAAATCAAACGCGGGAGGTTTTTTTTACCTTGAGGAAGAATTCGGTGCCTTTTTCCATGATCTGTTGGATCTGCAGGAAGCCGGCAGTGTACATGAGAAGGAACTGGTCCCCCACCGTCATGCTGAGACGGCCGGTGTAGCAGAAGGCCAGAATCTGTTGGAAGCTCTGCGGCTGCACAGCCGGAGGGAGCTCCACCACGGTGGGGCTGCCCTCGTTGCCGCTGCAGCCGCCGCTACTGCCGCCGTTGCTGAACAGGTCCCGGAAATAAGAACTGCTCGCGGCCAAGACAGCACGGTGAGCCTTTCACAAAACAAACAAATCGATTAGAATTTTAAAAAAAAAAAAAAAAAAAAAGTCGAATTCATTATGTGACTGAGCTCATAAGTTTCAGCCCCACCCCTTTTTTGTTGAACGTTTTCAATCAGGAAAAATAGCACTGTCTCATATGTCTTATATTTGCTCAATTTGCTGCCTTGCTAGCTAAATGAAGGATCCGTGAATGCGTTGATTATTTGTGAATGTCATCTTGATGTTCAGCAAAGTCTGCGTGACCCTTCATGAAAAATGTCAGCGGTCAGACCGCCAAATGGAAAAATGTAACACGGAAATACGGAGGTTCCAACTTTCCTGGCCTGTGTCAATTTGCCTAACTCACTCGATTCACTTTCCATGTGTGTGTGAGGTTGCTCTCGCGGGATAAAACACCATCTGACTCTCGGTGTTCTGATCACCCGTCTCCATGTTTGTCCTTCCAACAGTGTCAAACCGATCCTACCCGTGGAGTTGTACTATTCTTCTTCAAGCCGCATGCGAGTTCTGATGTATTTTCATTCTTCCCATCCTTTATGGCAGGGGTCCCCAACCGCCGGTCCGCGGACCGGTACCGGGCCGCAGGGGATTTGGGACCGGGCCGCACAGAACGCACGTGCCTTATTTCCCTTTTAT